GTATAAGTGCACAGATCTGTAATGCAGAACATGTGAGGTCTGATGTGCGTGGGTTCTGTCCGTTGTCCATCAGGATGGGCGGTGGCAGGAGATCACATTCGCAGCGCAGCAGGCAGTTCGGATAACGACTACCTCATCCTCAGCCTGCACGTGCCCGGCTTCAAGTGAGCACGCGCGCTTTCTTTCGCCCGCCGAACCGCTTCCCGTTTGTGTCAGATCATCCAGAAGGAAGGAAGAAAAAGGAGTAATTGTCCCTCTGAATCTCACCCCGGGTTGTGTGCTTGGTGACAGGGTGCCGGCCTCCCTCTCGGGCATGACGGGCAGCGAGTTTGGCTGGATCACCTTTGTGTTCGAGACCATCTGCTCCGGAGACTGTGAGCTCTACTTCATGATGGTGTGTGCTCTGATTGTGTGTGTGAGCGGGAAAGGGAGCAGTGAGGTGACTCGTTTTGCACTGTTTGTTTTGCACATGTTTCACCGTGATACCCCCCGCCCCCCGCCCCTCCCCCTGCAGGATGTGAACATGAAGAGCACCACGGTGGTGGAGTCCTGGGAAGGCAGCAAGGAGAAGCAGTCATACTCCCACAGCATGTCCAGGAACGCCTCGGTCACGTTCACGTGGGCCTTCCAGAGGACCAACCACGCGCTGGACGTAAGCACATTAAGTACCTCCATTGCAACCTGCAACCTGCAAGTGTACCTTCAGCTTTGTGTTCAGGGCTCCTATGAGGAGGTACATTAGATACACATCTGTACTGTAACAGATGTTCCCCTCCTTGCTCTGTGCCCGTCTGTTTACAGGTGCGTCGTTATGTCAGCGACATGGTGAAGCTGTACTCCATCAGCGTGACGAACGCCCTGGACGGCGTCGCGTCGGCATGTCGGGCCTGCGCTCTGGTGCCTCAGAACTCCCAGCGGGCCGGCTCCTCCTGCGTCCCCTGCCCGGCGGGTTTTTACATCGACACGGGAACCAACCGGTGCCAGGAGTGTCCACCCAACACGCACCTGGCAGGGCACCACACCTACGGCCAGGATGCATGCGTGGCCTGTGGGATGGGAAGTATTAGCAACAAGGTAGCCTTTTTTATACTAAAACAATACTTATTTAGACAGCTAAAAAAAAAAATATATATATATATATATATATATATATATAAACGCATACTTGATATATTTTTTGTTAAATTATTTTTTATTGTATGTATTAAGTAAGGTATTAACTAAAACCTTTATTGTAATTATTGAACTAAATAATATACAGTAAATTGTTTTTGAAAATACCTGATGTTGATATCCAGTCGTAAACAAAAGAATATAAAAACCATAGAGCAAATCATTTTTTTGTGATTTTATTGATTCTATATCTTCTACAACAACACATCAGAAATTAGGTTTGTAAACAGCATCGAGGGGTTGCCGTCTATATGTAGCTGCTACATACACGTGTGTTTTTTCTTTTCCCTCAGGAACACTCTCGTTGCTACAGCGACTGCTCCTTCTCGCACACAGAGAACAACCGCACACTGACCTTTGACCTCAGCCCCCTGAGCGACGTGGCCTCGCTGATCATCGGGCCGAGTTTCACCTCTAAGGGCACCAAGTACCTTCACCTGTTCAACATCAGCCTGTGTGGCCACGAGGTGATTCACACACATCAGCATCCTTCATCCTTCAGATCTGATGCTGTTCTTAGTTTCTTATTTTGTTGTTGTTGTTAATGTCGGGTTCATTATTATGACATATTATGTGTGGATTTCTTCACTTGCTCTCTACAAATATTGCATACTTGTAATTATTCCCACTACGATATTAACTGACATTTTCCATATCTCGTTTGGAAAGATTTGATCACAATTTTGAAATGTGAGGCATCGGAAATGTCGTGCGTAACCGTAGCAACCAAAAGATCATTTTGGACGCTGTCTGCAGGGGAGGAGAGCCGCCGTCTGCACGGATAACGTCACCGACGTGTCCAGCAAGGACGACCAGAGCGACTCGGCTCAGCTGGTCAACTCGGTGGACAGCTTCGTCTGTCAATCGACCATCATCCCGGCGGACGGGCGGGGCTTCAGGATGGCCATTTCCTCCCAGTCCATCAGCCTGGCGGACGCGTTTGTCGGTACGGCGCCCGTCCGACGTCGACCCGCGGCTCCGTGGCCCTTAGCTTGTGACGTCGCCTCTGATGTCGTCGGCTTTCGTTTCTCCTCCAGGGGCGACGGTGGACTCGGTCCTGGATTGGGTGGACGCTAAACCGGATCTTTTTCCCGCAAAAACAAAGGACCTTCCAGACATTAACTTCTTCTACAGGTACGACATGAGGAACTGGGACGGAGTGAGTGGGTGTTTTTGTTATTTATCCCTGTTTTCATTCAGGTCAACGCAGCCGACGGCCTCGTGTGATCACGGTCGCAGTTCGGTCATCACCGTCCGCTGCAACCCCGAGAAGTCTGACCGTGGAGAGCTGTCGGTGCCCAGGTAGGCCATTGTGTCCCCACCTTCATCGAGGGGCCCCAAAGAATGTACACGGTGACATGCGAGTGAACGTGACACAACTAACTGTGTAGTACGAGGGAAAGTACGATATCAAAGGATGTTAAAAGAAGAAAATGGATAATAAAGAACTCTGTTGGTGCAGCTCCTGTCCTGCGGGGACATGTGACGGGTGCACGTTTCACTTCCTGTGGGAGAGCGCCAGCGGCTGTCCTCGCTGCGCCGAGGACGACTACCACCCGATAGAGGGCGCGTGCAAGGGAGGCGTCCAGGTAACACACCTGCCGTCCCGTCCGTTGACTCTGTAACAGGGAATGTGTTGCAATAGTTTCCATTTGAAAGTATGAATGGGTGAACCACCCGATTGAAGGAACATCTTGAATAGGATTCCGTTTCAGTGTTTGGGTTTAATGTTGTAAACTTTTCATCCCGAACCGGAGTCGTTCCTTCGCATCGTGGGATCTTCCCTCTCGCCACTAAGTGAATTCTCCCTGCGCCCCCCTCCAGGAAACCCTGTACGTGTGGAACGAGCCCAAGGTGTGCACCAAGGGCGTCTCGCTGCCTCCCAGGAGCTCCTCCCCGTGCGAGGCCATCGCTCTGTGGCTGAAGGTCGGGGTCGGGGGCGGCGCCTTCGTCGCCGTGCTTCTCATCGCTCTCACCTGCTACTTCTGGAAGAAAAACAAGAGGTTAGAATCACTTTGATTTTGAATTAATAAAACATCGTAGACATCATCTTTTCTGGTTTAAACGGCTCTCCTTACTTTTGTTGTCTCTGGGGGACGTGCCTGTGGTCTGTCTTTAGACTGGAGTACAAGTACTCTCGCCTGGTGATGTCCGCCAACAAGGAGTGTGAGCTGCCAGCTGCAGACAGCTGTGCCCTGGCCGAAGGGGAGGAACCCGACGACGACGTGGTCTACACCAAGAAGAAGCCCTCCCTGCTGGGGAAGCTGCGGGCCATCGCTCACAAGGTGGGACTCTTGGCCACTTGACTTGTGTGTCCCAGCGTGTGCGTTTTTTGTGGTGTGTTGATAGATTTGACGTAACGTCTTGTTGTGTCTGCGTCTCTCAGCACGAGCGCGGAGAGAGCTGCGAGTCCGTGCAGCTGAACTCGTCCCAGTGCGATCGATGGGTTTTGGGATGAACGGACGCCGACCGCGAAGGAGGACAGAGGAGAGGAACAGAGGAGAAGCCAGTCAGTGATGTCACTCCCCTCCTCCCCGCCCCCTTCATGGTGGGGGGAGGGGGCGGGGCACCAATACAGACCTCCGGTTTCCACTGGGAAATTTTTTATGGGGAACAAGGTCTTTTACTGCCTGAAATCACAGAGACCCCCCCCCCCCCCCCCGCTGTAACGCCATTGATGCTCGAGGGCGGCAGATGAGGGAGAAAAATGCTTTTAATGTTTTTTGTATGTTTTTTGTATTTTTGTTTGAGATATTTTCTGTTCAGAGTTACGTATTTATATTAATGTTATTATGATGAGCCTTTATTAAAGTCCTATTTGACTTTGAAATTTGTTGTGGATAATGTACGTCGTGTGTGACAGTGTATGTGAGATGGATTTTTATATTTGTTTGTTTATTTCTGCCAATATTTCTTAGTTGTAGCTTTCTCGGATGATACTTTTTTCTTTTTATCTTTTTTATGCATCTTGAATAACTTTTAGCTTTGGACTTTTTATTGTGAATGTGTCCCTTTCGGCTCGGAGAAACTGGAGGTATTTCTCACAATTTTCAGGTTTTATTACAACCAATAATCAATTAATTGAGAAATAATCAGCGATAGATTCATAGAAATATTGAACCGCTTCAGTCCCAGCTACTTGCCCTTTAACACTAAGTACATGTCCCTTATTACACAGACATACTTTGCAGGACTTTTACTTGTAGTATTACTATTCTTACTTAAGTAAAGGATCTGAATACTTCCCTCATTACAGACAAAAGCTCAAATTCAAAAAAACTAATTTGCAATTAATCAAATTACCAAAACCAACAGTGCGACTGACTATTGTGGCCACTAAAGGGCCTGGTTAATTAATGAATCGAATCAACCGTGTCTTCCATATTGGAGGGTTATTGTAATTGTCAGTGGTGGAGGAAATCATTAATAAAAATACTAAACTGTAAAAATGCTCCATTACAAGTAAAAGTACTGCATTTCAATGGTTACTTGTGTAAACGTGTGTAAGTATAATCAGCAACATTTTCTTGATTAAAAGTAAATGTACTCAATGCAAATGGCCACTGTGACTTATGTTATATCAATAGAAAATATGAGTACTCATACATTAATATAAAAGCATTAATGTTCTGCTGATTTTCTCGTTATTAATTGATGATCATCCTTCATAACAGTTTATAGATCCGCACGATTCAGCCAGAAGCCGACCAATACGCGTGCTGTTTCTTTAAAAGCCTTTGTTTATACATCCGGGCACTTTGCCCCAGCCGCCGGCTCTCTGCGTCACCCGGCGGACACGCCCCCCGAGCGTGTGGCCCCTCCCCCCGACCCGCCCCCTCCCCGCAGAGCGACTCTTCCCCTCCTCCCGCAAAGTCGACGGAAGAAAAAAGAAAACTTCAGACTCTCCAGCCGCCGTTTTGCGCCCGTCGGTCCGCTGTGTTGCGGGTGATGCGGTGAGGGGAAAGCGGCAGACGTCGCGCCGGCATGTGAACGCTTTTTTTCGGCCGTTGAATTTCGAGACGTGAGCGCGGAGGTGAGTCCATCGACACGGGGGCCCGGAGCGGGGGGGCGACTCAACTGTGTCTCTTTTCTTCTCTCTCTTCTCTCCCCCCCCTCGCATGGACGTTCTAACAAACACGGCCGTTCAGCCGACGGTGGGAACGCGACGATAACGTCGTTGTGTTAATAAATCTGCGCCTTTTCGCGAAGATTACCATCGGGGTTTTTTTTTATTTATTTTTTTACCCAAACTTCTGGAAAAACCGCAAACTGTTCGTCCCGTGACGTCACCGCGAGACCGAGGAGAAAGACCGGTGTCAAATAATATTGAAAAAAATGGCAGATTAAGATTTCAGAATAATAAGTAAAAGTGTTTTTTTTTCCAGAGCCACGGTAAAGCCGCTGCTAATCAAACCATTTATATGTCCAAATGATTATATATGTTATGTCATTATATACGTTAAACAAGGGTATATACGATATGTATTTCATAATAGACATATTATTTTTAAACATGAGTGCCCGTTATTGTTGTTGTTGTTATTGTTTTAACAACTTCCACGTAAGTTATTGAAGCATATGCAATAACTTGACATTTTATGTTTGTTACTGGAAGATGGATTTAAACAGAAAATCATAAACTAACTATAAAGAGATTGTTATTGGTCCAAATCCAAAATAGGAATAGGAAGAAAAACATGATGTGCTGTGACTAAAGTTCTCTACCAACTCCTACCCAACCAACCAAAGGTGTAGCTAAATATACACTGTGTGTGTGTGTTGTGGTCACAATAACGGTGTAAATGTTTGTGTGCAGGTTCACCACCCGAGCTCCTGCTGGTTGAAGCGGTACGTTTCCTCTGCTCCGTGTTTGTGTGGTTTGAGCAGATTGTGTTGCTGTGATGTAACGTGAAACCAGGAGGTCAGCGACCTGTGATGTCTGCTTTGAGGTCACAGGGACCTCGTTTCCTCTCGTCGCGGTTGTTGTTTGTGTTTTAAAAGACTATTAAACTCCAGTTATTATGATGTTTGCATCCTCGTGAACTTTAAAAGTATAGAACGATATGATACAACAATAATAACATACTATACTGTTATTATGCTGCAATATAGTATTTTTTTATGGTATTTTTCAAAACATACTATGACTTTTTACGACACACTAAACTAATCATTTTTTAAGCATAAATTATATTACGACTTTTTTAAAGGCATATTATACTTTTTTAATATCTTCCTTCACTTTGACTCCTAAATGATTTTAGCAACCGTTTTTCAAATGACGCTGACGCTCGTGGGAATCATGCTATGACTTTTTTTTATAATTTATTTGGCATCATTTTTATTTCTATTAAATGTATTATCTGCTTTTTAAAGAAAACTTCATGTCCAGCTGATAATTAATAATTGATAAATAATAGTGAATTTATGTTACACTGCTATCTTAGTATCAATATCAAGTTGGCGATTTAAAGTGTGTCTGGTTAAAACTCAAAGCATCCATCAGGTCTTAAAAAAGGTTATCAAACGAAATTTAATTTCACTTCACAGCACTTCTTCACGTCCTCAAAGTAGGTTTCACATGATTTAAAATCTTGCTTTAAGTTGAAGCTCCATCCCTGCACATTGCTGAAGTTTGACTAAACTAATGACGATAACGATGTAGTTCACTGTGATTTAATGTGTGTCTTAATTATTCTGCTAGTTTATCAGCCGGATAATTAAATGGGTTAATTTTTGTGTGTTTAAATGTTCTTCTTGCAGTGCCTGTTGGACTCAGTCATGGCTCGCGGGTGCATCTGCTGCGTTAAATACATGCTCTTCCTCTTCAACCTGCTCTTCTGGGTAATTTCTACACACGCAGTTACAATGAATCAGCAGTAAGATCAGCGTGACCGCTAGATGCTTTTAATATCATGCCATCAACAGGAAGTGTCTGTTTGTGTTTCAGCTGGGTGGGTGTGGCTTGTTGGGTGTGGGCGTGTGGTTGTCGGTGTCTCAGGGCAGCTTCGCCACCCTGTCGCCCTCCTTCCCGTCGCTCTCCGCCGCCAACCTCATCATCACCTTGGGCACTGTCGTCATGGTGACTGGATTCCTGGGCTGCCTGGGCGCCATCAAGGAGAACAAGTGCCTGCTGCTGAGCGTGAGTGTGCCGCCGTGTCTGTCGTGCATCCCAGGCGTTCGTTCTCGTGATGTTGACACGATGTGAAGAAAGGAAACAATAACAAGTTTTAACGTTTGTATGATTCACATGTAATTACGGACATAAGTATTTTTAAGAAGGGGGTCATATTGAATTGTTTTGCAACCCTAGTGAGGGTTTCTTCTCATGCTGGAGTTTTCTCCTTTTTCTCCAGTTTTTCATCGTTCTGTTGATCATCCTCTTGGCCGAACTCATCCTCCTCATCCTGTTCTTTGTCTACACCGACCAGGTACCACTGACAAATAAAAAGCATTCATGGTTATCGATGGTCCTCTCCTGCTACATGTTCCGTGATCCACCTTTTCATCTCGCTTGCCCAGGTGAGCGAAAACGCCCGACGGGACCTGAAAGAGGGGCTCGTGCTGTACAACACGGACGAAAACGCCGGGCTGAGGGAGGCGTGGAACGCCATCCAGGGAGAGGTACATCACCGGCTTTAAAAGGAAAAAGATCTCTCTTTTTAAAAAGCAAATGAGGTCATGTGACTAACTTCTTACCTGCCTGTGCACCAGTGGAGGTGCTGCGGTGTGAGCAACCACAACGACTGGTACTCGGCCCTGCATGACAACGTGGTGCCCGACCGCTGCTGCCAGCAGGTTTTCCCGGGATGCGGACGCAACGCCTCCAATACCTTCTGGACGCGGGTGGGTGTGTCTCTAAAGCTCACTCAAGGATGTAGAAGGAGTGAGCTTGTAGGGGCTGTTTGAGCTGGATTTATTTAACCTTTAAATGGAGCTAAGAAGACGCTAAGTTAACCGGGTGCTTTCTATAGCGTAATAACTGGATTCCTTCTGAGGGACTTGTCCGTTGTGTGTTTTCAGGGATGCTACGAGAAGGTGGAGGAGTGGCTGGATGACCACAAACACCTTCTGGGGACCATCGCCATGTGTGTGTTGGTAATACAGGTGAGCAGCTCAATGCAGAACACTCATCTAAAGAGCAATAGTTTATTTTCATTTACAGCCATTTAGCTTGTATTCAACTAAAATGGCTTGAAATAAGAAATGAGTACATTAAATAAGCCAACATGAAGTTTACAGTGTACCATGCCACAAACAAATGTAAAATAAATGTAAGTGTATCATGGCATAATAAATGTCCTTTTTATAGTAACTTAAAAAAAATAATATAAAAAAGTTGGCGTGCAATATAAATGCAATGAAAAGCCCAAGGATAGTGTATCAAAATCGTCATATGTAATGTTTCATGAACATTTCAAAATAAAGTAGGCCATGTAAAAATCATAGTATACCTTGTCAAAAAGTAATTATATAGTACGTCGAAACCAGTGTTTAGAAAAGTCACATTAAAAAATACTATTAGCGCTGTCCGTGGTGCTGAAAGTTCAGTCGCTCCACACGATTGTTTCACTCGCTCTTTTCTGTTGTTACCGGATTGATTTTGTCTCTCCAGCTCCTCGGGATGGCGTTCTCCATGACGCTTTACCAGCAGATCCACCGAGCAGGGAAGAAGTACGAAGCCTGACGATTATCTTATCATTTCAAATAGTTACCGTCAGTTACATAAAATGCATCACTCGGTTCATTGTAAAGAAGAAGCCTAATATGTGTGCCACTACAGCCGTTTTTTTATCTGCCCGCTTTTGAAAATAATCATTCTCATGCATGTTATGTGAGATATTTGTAATGGACGAGAGGAGCATATTTTTAACTTTGTTAAAAACCAAGTCGCTGGAGTAAAATATAATGTATGGATCCATTTAGGAAAAGGAACCTGTTCAATAAAAGCACTCTTCACAAATGTGATAATGTTTTGTTTCAGGCGCTTTTAAGACGTGAGACTCTCTTTACTCTTGATGATACAGATAAAAGCCGAATGAGCTGCAGGTCAATAAACAAACCTTTTGAGTTTGAGTCAAAATAGAACAAATAGTTTCTAGGTGATGAAGAAATTCCTCTCTTTGCTGTATCTACTGGTTACTTATTAAAAGCATGTTTAGCTATAAATGACAAACCGGGTTGAACAGAGGGGAAGATTTTAATCACAAGCTAACAGGACATTTAAAGCACTTAGGATAGTAAATATGGTCAGTCTTTAACACAAGTTTTACAAACAGGAGCCAAAAAATATTTTTTAAGTATTTTCTTAAATTCTGGAGAATTATTCAAAGCACTGTCACTAATTCTCCGGTTACAGCTGCATAGTTTTGTTATTATCAACGACGACGTTTCCTTTGATGACGACGTAGCGAATCAGCTCCTGATGTCCGCCCAGCTGGTAGATCAGGTGCTCCCACCTGCAGCCAAAAAACAGGAGAGCGTCTGTGTTACGCGCTCATACGTCACATAAAACACAGAAGGTGTCACTCATCTGAATAAAGAATAAAACATCTAGATGTTACACTACTAGACAGTTTGACCTTGTGTTCAGATCAAATCAGCTGATTTAATGTGGTGTAGATGGTGTAATATCATTACAACGTAAGCTGTAATCCAAAAAACTTTCTATTTGCTATTAAATGAATAAATAAATAGAGAAATGCTTTTACTATAGTAAACAAATCAACGATGCACATCAAAACTAATATTTGTATTTACATCTAATGATAGATTACATCTTATTTGAACTCTTTATCCTTCTATTTGTCGTTTTCTTGGAGCACGTGTATATTTTCCTGTTTACCGCGGGGTGTCGAGGACCAGCAGGTCGCCGTGTTTGTTGACCTCCAGCGAGCCGTGTGTGTCGGAGCGCCGCAGGGCGTAGGCGGCGTTGATGGTGGCGGCGGCCAAAGCTTCGGGCATGGACATCTTCATGTTCACGCAGGCCAGGTGCATGACTATCGGCTGAGGGCGGGGGGGCAAGAGAAGAATGTAGAGAGCAGCGAGGAGCTGGAACCATCATGCATCACTCCCGTCCTACTCACCATGGAGCAGCAGTAGGCGTTGGGGTTGAAGTCGCTGCCGAGGGCGACTATCACTCCGGCTTCCAACATGTCTCTGGCCCGTGGCTGAGGCAGCCTGAACACACACACACACACACACACACACACACACACACACACACACACACACACACACTAAAGTTGCAATAAAAAGGTGCACTAGTCCCCCTACCTAGATGTTGTACTTAAGTACAGCTACTTTTTTATACCTCAGTATGTAGGCCGTGGTTGGGAGAAGGACGGCGGCCGTTCCTGCTGTCGCCATGGCAGCGATCCCCTCATCGGTGACCTCCTCCAGGTGACTGATGGCCAAGGCCCCGAGTTCTGCACCCAACTGACACACACACACGATTATTATTCTGATGCCTCTGGTAGGAGAGTTCACTCGGTCCTGCTCACATCACGAGCAGCGGGTGATACCTGAGCAGCGTTCATGGGGTGCAGCTCATCCCCGTGGAAGTTGATGTTGAGGCCCATGTCTTTGCCGGCCTGCAGGATGGCGCGCGTGGACCCGAGGTCGAACACGCCGCGCTCACAGAACACGTCGATGTTGTCGACTCCCAGCGCCCCGGCGGACATCCGCTCCTTCAGCTCGGGCAGCTGCACCCGCAGGATGTCCTCCGTGGCCTCCGCCACCGACTTCCCTCTGGATAGAAGGACACCGGTTTGGAAGGGGTCCCTTGGCGGTGTGCGCGGGCGTGGGGGTGCGCGTACCTGGGCACCGCGTGAGCTCCGCAGTAGGTGGAGGAGATGTTGATGGGCAGCGTGCGTCGGGCCTCCTCGATCGCCTCCAGCATCTTCAGCTCGGTCTGCAGCTCCAGCCCGTACCCGCTCTTGCACTCCACCAGGGTCGTGCCGGCTCGCTGCATCCGGACCAGGCGGCCGCGGAGGGAGGCCAGCAGCTCCGGGGGGGCGGCGGCTCGGGTGCGCTCCACGGTGAAGTGGATCCCTCCGCCGGCCCGGTGCACGTCCATGTAGGAGGCGCCCGCCAGCTGCGACACGCGTACCACGCGCTTTAGTTGTGGCAGCGGAGGAAGAAGTCAACGTGTAACAGACACACAATGATTTACCTTCATTGCAAACTCGTGCACCCGGTCCCCCTCCCACACCGGGTGCGTGTGCGCGTCGACCAGCCCTGCGACAGGTGTCCAAACGGTTAAAAAACAACAACAACACAACTAGCACACAAACTTCCGCCGGGCCGATACTCACCGGGCACGACGCACATGCCTGTCGCGTCGATCACGTGATCGAAGGACGCGCGTGAGTACTGCGCGCGGAGGACTTCCGCGGGGCCCACGGCTTCAATCAGCCCGTCGCTGGGTGAAGAAATGAACGCTTTAAGGTGGGGGGCTTAAAAAGCACCAGAGGGTCGTTTGTATAAATGACTACGAGCTAAACTAAATGAGAGGATATAGCAGAAGTTAAATAATTATTAGATAATGGGGTAATTCATTTATCAAGAAAACTATTCTAAACTTTAACAATACAGAATTTGTTATGTGATGTTAAACGATAGTGAGTGGTGCCAACATATATCACATATTTTCTTTAACGGCCACATTCCTGGTGTGACCTGATCTCAGAGGCCCGTTGCTTGAAACCTTACCTCCCAATCACTACGCTCCCATTTTCAATCACACAAAGGTTCTGCATCCCGAGTTTGGTGAGGAACTTCTCTCCGTTGTTGCAGATCAGAACCACCTGTTGGGCGTTCTTCACCAGCAGCCGGGGATTACTGGACATCTTGATTCAGCCAAAAGCAGAGACCACTAACTTCAGAGTCACGGGCTTTAAAGTTGTTTCGGATCAGGCAAATATTTGTCAAGAAGAGTTTAAAGTGCAGAGAGAGAGAGAGAGAGAGAGAGAGAGAGAGAGAGAGAGAGAGTGGGGGAGGTGCTTCAGCCACAGAGAACCTGTACTTACACGAACCACTTCGGTCAGAAATCACATGCAAAAAAACAACCAGGTTTAAGAAAGGGTACAATAATCATTTTATTGAGTCTGTATAACAAAGCCACAACATTAAATTGTCCTCACATACAGTAAAAAAAAAAAAATCAGTTTTAAAACTGCTTGGAAAAAAGAAAGAAAAAAAACCCCACACGTCCACTTGTTTCACATGGTGAAAACACAATCACACTTCAACTCAACTAAGAGGTTCAATCGCACAACAGGGCCGGGTCATCTTCAACATCACTCCCTCATTTCTCCGTCTTCCTCCTCTTCTTCTACGCCTCTGATGTACAAAACGTTGTTACACCTGTGGGAATGGAACACAGCCGTTAGCACGATGCTGCCGAAACTGGGTACCGCTCGAGGGAAAAGACAAGCAGGATGGACCAGCTGTCCTTTGGTTAATTATTGACACGGGTTAGTGGAGGCAAATCTTAAGGATTGACCAAAAACAAGGAACATCTGTATTGTTTGCGTGATTTATGTTTGTTTGTTTAGTTTCCCCTCGAAGAAAAGAACATCAGAAAAGGTAGAATTAAGTAACGAGATGCTACAACTAAACCAGTTATGGAGTAAAGATGTTTTAGGTTTATAACATACCTGACCAGCACCTCACCAAGGTGACCCGCCAAAGCTCCGTCCACATACTCCTCTGTGTTTGCCAGCTGTCAGGGAAATGCGTCAAATAGCAAAAAGGTCAAGACGCCATCCGTACGGTGTATTTGCACGGCAATCACAAAGTCGACAAAAATATGACGAATAATTCTTGTGGTAGCTTTTTCTTGAATAGAAATAACTTTGCACGATTTACTTCTAGACAAGAGACGCAGGCGACTTGTATGAAATATAATACATGTTTGCAATATTCTTTATATTGTTATGTTTATATAAGTCACTGCTCACATTAAGGACAAAGGGAAGCTCTGCAGCTCGTAATGCTCAATCCCTCCACAATTTTGTTGGTAATAAAACAAAGAAAATAATAACATAATGAAATACATTTTGTCAAAGAGCAAAGAACTCCTTTCCATCTTCAGAAAAAATAAAAAGTGACCATCTAGGAACGGGGTTATTTTAAAATGCTCGATTTAATTTACATTTATTGCATTATTGGAACAAAGCACACAACACGCTCAATTGACTTCACCTGCATATTCATGTACCCGTCCACGGACACCAGGTAGCCCTTGTACTCCATCCCCCACTTCAGCTTCACCATCACCGGTTTGCCGGTGAGGCCGTTCAGGAATGGCTTCGGGTTCAACGGTAAACTCTACGGAGGAGAGGGGGCAGGTTGTGAAACGTATTGTTAGAACATACGGTAACAATTTAAAATAAATTATCATAGTTATATACCACGCACTGTTTGCCAATCCGCGCGCGCAAGATAACGTTAAATGAGAATGTGTTTGGTGCGACTTTGTCTCCACAGAAATCGGGCCAAACTCAAAACATAGGACCGCATAAATCCACCTGAAAACGGACCGTAGTCATCGACGAGACGGTTAAACCTACTTAATTATTGATTAAGTGATTCTACGTTACATTATTACACAGCCTGCTTTCCGTAATAGTGAGGGATTCATTCATCCGATTGCATGAATGAGAAGCTAACAAAGCTAAAGCTAACTAACAAATAGGCTACCATCTTGGCACGGCGATGCCAAAATAACTCGCACAAAACATCCAAGTGGTTGCTGGTAACCATCAATAAGATGTACTCACCATTTCTGTTTTACTAAATGTCTTCTGAGAGCGAATAAACTTAATATATGTTCGTCTCAAAAACGTATGCACTTCGCCGAGCAGCACACACGCTTTGCCGCCAGACCGGAAGTACAACCTCTGAACTCTGAGTTGTGTTCCCGCTTTTGCATCCCGCCACCTGGTGGTGGGGGTTTACACGGCAGTCACTCATTTTTATCAAAAAAAATATAATATTATTGCAAATATTACCACATTAGTTATTTGTATTTATTTACTGTTATTTATTTATTTTCTCTTAATTTCATCTGTTCTTTTTTTGTTGGTTAACTTTTTGTTGTACATTTTACTTGTTTAGTTGGTTGCAGTACATTTGCAACTACTACAACTGTTTTCATTATGGATCAATCTGTGGATTTTTTTCTTAATGAATACATTTATTTTTTGGTTTCTTCCTACAATGTTAAGAATTGTTGTCACAATTAATCCAGATAGCAAAATGGTTCCTTCAATGTTTGATATTTTCAAACATCACCGGTTTCTCGGTAACAGTTGAGAATTACTGTTTAATCCTCAAAGGTTTGTTTACAGTGTTTATATATTATTTTATGAAGTTTTATTCCCTCTTGTTTGGCATCAAAATGTGTTTAAAAGGTCTAAAGCAAAGTAAGTTTGATACATTTATTTCTGAACTCTATCAGGCATCATTTCTTAATCGCTATGTCATCTTAGTTGAACCAAACTGCATTTACAGCACAGACTCTAAAGGATATTTCACACCCCCTCAAAGGATGATTCAATAATCATAAACTCTGATCTGTTTAGGGGAAATGACTGTCATTATTGGGCTGTGCCAGCTCACTGTCCGGGAAGCTATTTCTCTGCGGGCACAAACCCTCTGAAGTGTTCACTCATTTTCTGGTGTTGAAGCATTCGACTGTTACTTAAGCCTCTAACAAGTTCAAACCTGCTCCCTTGAATAAAAGCAACATCTGATTTCCTACGGTGAAGTTCTGGGTTCTGCCAGAAAATTCCTCTGAAATTGCTTTCAAGCTTTCTTTGCATGTTTGAAATACTCATGTCCTTACATCATTTAGCCTTTTCTTCTTCTCTCTCCTCTTGAGTCGCTCTCCGTGTAATTAACCAATCCGTCAGTCAGTCACCGTGTCAGGCAGGCATGATAACACTTTGTGTGGGTGGGTGAATGTTGAAAATGGCCTAAAAAAATGAAAACCATCACTAAGAGACCAGAGACAAACAGACACAACAAAACTTCAGCGCCAAGGACCGCGTCCACGGAGACTAAAAGACGACCATAAAGACACAAAAGGTCCCCGTGAGGAAAATATGAGCCTCCATGAAAAGGTGCAAACACAGAGAGATGCACAACGACTACGAGATGACGCCAAACCGCCAAAAGACCAAAAAGTGTCCGTGCAAAAGAGATAAAAGACTTCACACACACAACAAGCACAACCTCAATGAGGAGGAAGGCGGCTTTGTGGAAGAGGCCAGCCGGATCATTCCAGTCTGATGCCACTCAGCTCTTTGAAGTCTGCAGGGGAAAGCTGAGAGACTGAAGTTAACTGACTGGAGAGGATGAACTGCAGGAAGTGTGAAGCACGGGACTCACACACCTCCGTGGCTGTGGGAAAAAATAAATCCAGTGTTTGTCAGACGCCGTAGTGAAGACCCGGTTTACCCCCTTCTTGCCAATAGTTAGATAAGATGTCTGAGGGCCATTGGCTTAGCTTAGCATAACGCCTGGGAACAGCAGACAGAAAAGCCGAAGCCGCGCTGTGTTCAGTGGAGCTTGACCCCGGAGGCCCGGAGCGAAAGGAGCGGTTGTTCCAACATGCACTTTTTGTGTACAGTCACCGAGCACCGGGGGGCAGACGTATGACGCGCAACCGAAACACAAGTTGTGGCAGTTGAAAGATTAATATGTTCCGCATATGAACGCAGGTATCCCTCTTTTTGAGGGACATCAAGCAGCCATTGTTGTTTGCAGACGGCCATGCGGAGAGCAGAATTTAAAAGTTTGCTGTTATTGGGGCACATTTCACTGGTTTTGAATGCACTCCAACAATGCTGTCGACAAAGGCTGCAGCCGAGCAGCCAATCGGTGAAACCTGTATTACTTTGTGTGTGTTTGTTCTCCCTCCATCCGAAGCCAATTAGTCCAAAAATGTGCCCAAATATCAATAAAATACTGGATTGTAAAAAAAAATACTTGTTACATCAGATAAACATGAGCTGATTTAATTTACCGCTGGGTAGCTCGATCTATATTATTATGACATCATTGATTAATATGGTGAATTCATTATGTAAATCTGCACTGACACCTTTGAATACTTGTAATTGCTGCTTTCGGATCCCTGACCAGACTTTGAGTTTCTTGATCTTGGATGGAGTAAAGTCACACACCGCCGCTGACCCCCGCTGGGGAGAGGAGCAGGACCCCCCCTTCCTCCCCGTTCCGACTGGAATGTTCCTTTAACTCGCGCCGCGCCGAGGGGCGGAGCCGCCCCCGCCGCCGCGGCCGCCGCGGCGCACGAGCTCTGCGTCCCCCGTGCGCGCTCCCCGCAGGGCAGACGCGCGGCGGCAGAGCGGAGCACCGGGCGCACACTCGGGGTTTGGGTGGATGGGTGGGGTGGGGTGGAGGGGGGAGAGAGAAATGAAACACGCTGCGGGTCCAGAAGCAGCAGACGAGCCGGGCCGACCGGTCCCTTTCCTCCTCCTGCTCCTCCTCCTCTTCTCGCAGCGGGACGCCGCGCGCCGTCCGGGCTCACGTCGCTCCTCCGCGCGCCGCCGTCGGCTCACCGGCTCGCGGCTGAGTGAGAGAGAAAGTCCGCACCGGATTTGAACCCGCGCACTCGACCGTCCGCGGATGAAGTGACAACACGGGTTCTCTGCCTCTCCTCGCGCATTTGGGATTATTCGTTTGGAACGCGCAGACATGATGATGTTATTCGCCATCAGCGTGGCCTTGTTGTCAAATGCAGGTTAGTGTGCTTTTATTTTAATAGCCGTGTAAAAACATAATGACATATGAGATATTGTCACCAATTCAAAGTGCAGCGATGCAGAAGTGGCCCGGATGCTTTTAGAAGCTGAACCCTCGTCTATAAAACGTTTATGCCTAATTTTATGTCATCAACTAAATTATGAAACAGTCTCCCTTTAAACCCCTCGGGGACAGAGCAGTGAGGACATGTCTCATCGCCTCATCGCTGGTCCCTGCCACGGTTTGTGATAATGATAATAGCAGTATAAGAGATGTGATTTATCCATTTAGATTCATATTTCCTAAATAACACACACATATGCTTATATATATATATCCATTTGAATATACGTATCATCACTAACTTATTTATTAGTTGGCACAAAACAAAAGGTTATTCAATCCAAAGGGTTTCAGTCTTCTCCTCAGACAGACAGTTACGTAATTCGACATGAACTCCACTCCAACAAAGAACATCCCTGCAGGGCAGGTCCCTCGGTGCAAAAGTTCACCCATCCAGGCCCTACGGTTTAATACGAGTCTCCCACGTAAGATAATAAATTCCCCCTGAAGACCACCTCGCCCCCCCTCCCTGGGGGCGGGGGAGGGGGTGGACGGGGGTGCAAAGCGTCTGAATGCTGCTCATCCCACGCGAGCTGCCAAACTTTGTCTGCGTTAGAGTCCACGCTGGCTGCAGGCAGGTGCACAATGCCTCTATTATCCCTTTTGCGTTACATTTCCCATCGAGGTAAAGCACTTGGCTTGTGTGCGTGTACACACACACACACACACACACACACACACACACACACACACACACTGAGTCACTGTTATTCTCAGCTCGCCCACAGACTCTCACACAGACTCTGTTACTCGGATCCACATTTGTCTGTTCATGAAAATCTCCAAAAACCTCTAAAAGAAGTTTTAGCGCTATAGGGCCATTAAATGCTTACTAACGACGCATTTTATTGCTTTTATATTGTCAGTTATTACACAAAATAAAATCAGCTCAGATGGGAAAAGTGTTTAGGTGGCTTTTAACTGAAATGTTCTGTCTATTTGGATTCTTCTTTATAAAACAGCTAGTTCCAAAAGAAAAGCACTCACGCTTGTCTCTCGTCTGTCCCAGTGGCTTGTAGAGTTTGTGATTTTAGAGCTATTTTAATCGGATTAATAGTAACGACACTTAATCCGAGGTATGATAACCCACTTGACATCTTTCCCTCCTCCCTCCTTCCTCCCTCCTTCCTCCTCCCTCTCTTTCTCTCCCGCGCAGGTCTGTCGGTGGAGGTGTTTCGCGCCGGCGTGGGTCCTCGCTGCGAGAGCCGGGCCTGCAACCCCCGCATGGGCAACCTGGCCCTGGGTCGCCGGGTCCTGACGCAGACCGTCTGCGGCAACAACGCCACCGAGCTCTACTGCTCCTACTCCGACCCCGACGCCAACCTGGCCTGCCACGCCGCCAGGTGCGCCAAGTGCAACGCCGGCCTGCCCCTGCTGTCCCACCTGGCCGGCGCCATGTCGGACTCCTCCTTCCGTCACCCCAACACCTGGTGGCAGTCGGCCGAGGGGGTCGAGTCGGAGACGGTGCAGCTGGACCTGGAGGCGGAGTTCTACTTCACCCACCTCATCGTGGTGTTTCGCTCGCCGAGGCCGGCCGCCATGACCCTGGAGCGCTCGCAGGACTTCGGCCGGTCGTGGCGGATGCTGCAGTACTACGCCGGCAACTGCAGCGCCGCCTTCGGGATGGAGGAGGGGGGGAAGGCGGGCCGCGACGGGGCCGCCTGCACCGCCAAGTACTCCGGGGCTTATCCCTGCGACCGCGGCGAGGTGAGGAGGGGGGCCGCGAGGCCTCTCATCTTTTACATCAGACGACGAAAAACAACTTCTCACTTTTCTCTCCCACAAACAACAGTTTCCTCTCAGTGTGTTTAAGCGGAGGGACGAGATTTTGATAAAGATCCGATTTGCCTCACCGGTTGAATTCGACACCATTTCTCTCAATCGGAACACAGCCGGGCGGCTGAGGAGGCAGGTTGACGCAGGTGCGGTAGGCGAGACCGACGCACACCTGCAGTGAAGCGCTGCAGGGGAGGGGGGTGAGGGGGGCGGAGAGTTTCCTCCCTCGGCTCTTTCTTCCTCCATCGATGAAACGATAATTGGGTCACATTGGTTGAATCGAAATACGAGACGTTCTTTTCTCAGCGAATGATTTAAAGTGAGTTCATTACCCGTCCTCCTGGAACAGATCCGGTCCCGTGAGCTCAGCCAGGTGTGGGAAGCTGTCTGTCTGTGTGTGTGTGTGTGTGTGTGTGTGTGTGTGTGTGTGTGTGTGTGTGTGTGTGCAGGCGTACATTGACTGAAGCCTGAGACGGCTTCCTGCAGCCCGTCGATGTTTAATTGAAGCCGTGTGTGTCGGGAGCTGCTCTGCAGATGTGCTTGGAGGCGCATGCCAGGCGTGCTGCTGCTCCGGACTCCCCGCAGCGCTGTGATAGTCAACGTGTGTGTGCACCACCTCCACGACCCCTTACATGTGTTTCACTGTTAGAGGCCTCATTCTGCTGCTGGACACTCAATCATTCATTCATGTAAGAAATAAAGCAGCTGTGCATTTTTTTTTACACAAGTTTCACACCTTTTTTACTCAAAGGTGTGAATTATAGCCTTTTTCCCCGTATCTCTCCGAGTCAGCACCTGTGTGAGCGTGACCTCTGACCTCTGACCCCTCCAGCCAGGGGTTAAAAAGAGTTCAAGCAGCGCTCTGACGGACCAGCAGCTGCCCAGCTGTCGCCGCTCTCTCTCTCTCTCTGATCCTGTGTGTTTTTGTTGTACGGCTTTAATGGCGGTTTTACAGCGCGTGGTTCGTGCAAAGTGATGACAACGAAGCCTTTTACTGTGCACGAGGCTCATGGGTGTAGCTCCCCGTTTCCTCGCTTCACGCTCGCTAACTTCAGCTGCACCGCGTGGCTTCTGCTCAGTCGACACGACATCAGACTAGAAACATTCTCAGTTGTGAGAATTTGCAGCTTGACGTGACGTCCGTCACACAAATCCCACCAGACGTACAGTATGTCGACAGATTACACACTATTCATGGGATAATCATTTCAGAGTAAGAGAAATGGTAAAACACATCTGACATAAAGCACGTCACCATTTCACTAAAAGCTTTTGGCCTTCACCTGTAAAGGTGGTGTGTGCGTGTGTGTGTGTGTGTGTGTGTGTGTGTGTGTGCGTGCGCTGGGTTTCTTTCCTTATTTATGAGGTCAGCTGGGCTGGAAGAATGTGAGGGCTTCTTGTAGAGCCTGACCTCCTGGGGAGGAGAGGGAGGCAGCCCAGCAAACAGACACACTCTCTCTTTTTCACAGTTCCTGGAACACACACACACACACACACACACGCACACACACACTCGTCCGTGGCCTTTCAGTTAACACGTAGTCGGCTTTCCGTCAGTCTTCCGGGAAGGAAGTAGTGTTGTTCTGATGGATTTTGGTACCGGCGCCCCCCCCCCTGCTTTCTTTCTCCTTCCATCAGGCCCATTGTGCCTGTTTACCAGATTACAGTCCACAGCGCTTTGATGGAATTAAGCCAGACTTACTCTATTATTCAGCCTGAGGTGAACACATGGCCCACACTGAACCCGTTGTCTCGGGGGCCCCAGTGGACAAAACTTAAAATGTGGTTCTTTTTGCCCTTTCATTTCTTGCATGTTTTTAATGGCAGGTATACACGCTTTCGGGACTGTTGGGTTTAAACATCTGTAATTACACGATTGATTAATATTGTGGCCGTTCACCCGACTCCAGGTTTCTAGTCCCTTAGTCTGCAGGGTATCTGAGCAGTGACTCTCTAACACGGTCAAAGACTTTAGAGCATTTTCAGTCGCACGCCGCTTTCAAATCCTTTTTCATGCGGTCTGCACTGAAAAACGTCATACGGTACTATTAACTACTATTATTAATGGATTAGTTCTCAGATTCCACCATATAAACAGCAGCAGCAGCTAGAAATATAGTTTCAATCTGTAAATTCACAGTTAAAGGCCCCCTGTTGTGTTCCCTTATTAACCAATATGAATGTGTACAGTCTGTTTCTCACTAAACCGCATCGTGTGTCCTTTATCTTATTAAGAATCATTTAGTATTTTGAAACCTAAGCCACTTCTCATCTTCTGCTTGCTATAGTGAGTTTGAGATGCAAAGAAAAAGAGGAACCACTTGTTAAAACGTTGCTCGGTAACGCTGATTTAATCAAAAATTCCTCAACGCCACATCTCACCTCGATGAAGGATCTCAATCAAAAACTTGTTCACTGTTATCTGAATGAAATATAAGTCTTTAAGCTTGGAAAACGCTTTGCGTGATAAAAGGGAGGCGGGAAAAAAAGGGAAAGACAACACGAATAAGCAATGAATGTGCATCGTATTCATAGTTTGAAAATGAAATAAGGAGCTGGGAGTAAAATAATGCTTGAAATAAAACTGACCGTTCAAAAAGGTAAATGTGGGTCTCATCAGCGTATTTGCGAACGCTAATATTGTGTCTCCAGATTTACAGTAAAACAACGAGGCATTACTACCGAGTAGTAAAAGCTCCATGTACGCTTGGTGAGGAATTTGTGTTTTGTAAAGGAAAGCAAAAACTGGTGTGTGTGTGTGTGTGTGTGTGTGTGTGTGTGTGTGTGTTGCTGTGGTGTCACCGGGCTGTCGTCGGCCTTTTGTGCGGCCCTGAGTTATGTGAAGCTGGATCTCCGTCTTCGTCTTTGTTCGTCCCTTCCCTCCGAGGTCTCCCGCGGGCCGGCGCCCCTCGTCCTATTTGTCGTGTTCTCTTAATTGTGGACCACAATGCTGTGACCCCGCAACCTCTGACAACAACGGGGATATCAATGGCGCCCCGCCCATCGCACTCTCGCACAGGCACGGGGCCAATGAGGGAGCCGCATGGGGTCTTTCTTCGCTGTCGTCGTGCTTCAACCAATGAGAACGCGCACACATACAAACACACACCGGTCGTCCCAACGATATCAATGACGGCCGGCGACAACGACTCACACTTTGTAAAGAGACACACTGCAAACACGCACATTTCTTTCACAGCGGGAGTTGTGGCGGACACCACTTTTTCACCCCGGCAACGGCAGTAGTGTTGGTTGCTAGCGGCAGCAGTAGCCATGGCGATGGCAGGCCGCCCATAAAAGGGATCTTGGATTTGAAGGATGTCCAGGGGACCAGACATGGAGGGGGGTGTAAAGGTTGGGCACACTCATTTGAGGACACCCAGCGCCCCCCGTGGTCACGTGAGAACGTAGCCAATGACGACAGGGTGGAAGGTCGTAGTTTGGTGGGCAAACGGTACCAAAACAAACGTGACAGATTCAGTGACACGAGAAGCATCAATGAACCTGATTGTGTCGCTGAATACGTCTAATCCGCCTCAGCGGCTGCAACAGAGAACAGGGCCCTTTTTTTGGGGGCTATAGGGAATTCTATTATTCTTTTTAGGATTCAGAGGAATAAAGAAGAGGTGAATCAAGGATGAGGGGAAACCACGGAGCTAACAAAACAACCTCACCTTCCGAGTGGAGCGCCAACCCCGTGTGAGTTTATGTTCAAGAGCCTCACAGAGAAGGAAACGAAACGTTCCTGACCGGCCAAATTCCTTCAGCCGACAGTTCAAAAGCGACACCGCGTCGTACTCGTTCACACAAGGTTTTCTGTCTTAAGCATCCTGCGAAATGAAAAACTAGGGGTCGCGTAGGTTGAACTAAGGTGTCGTCGGCAGTTCAGGATGTTGAATAAAAAGGTTATTGTGTGTCTATTGGAATACGACGCCCCATGATCTTCACACTCTTCACTGGATCCTACGCACACGGCCTGCGACGAATCGCATCGTTCTGCTGCTTTGCTGCCAGTTTCTTTCTCAAAATGGACTCGATTCCATCCGAAATGACGAGAGCCGATGCGTCTCTCTCCGTCCAACAGGTGATCTACCGCGCTCTCCCCAAGTGGGAGTCCCTGGATCCGTTCGGGGTGGAGGGCCAGCAGCAGCTGAGGGTGACCAACGTCCGGATCAGGTTGCTGAAGCGGCAGCCGTGTCCCTGCCAGGCCAAAGACCTCGCCGCCGCGGGCGAGGCTCCGCCCACCCGCCACTTCGCCATCTACGACCTGATCGTGAAGGGGAGCTGCTTCTGTAACGGGCACGCCGAGCAGTGCGTGACCGCCCCGGGCTACCAGCCCGTCAGGGACCGCACCAACCACGTGGTAAGGCAGCAGCATGGGGTCAGCGTGACGAGCTAGCTCGTTAGCCGACCGTAGGCTAACTCACCGGGTTTTGGCTCTGACTGAATTGAAGCGGTTTCTGTTGTGCACTCAGAGTGTGTCGGGGCGTGCACGACGCGATCCGCTGATTGTCATAACAAAGCCAAGAGATGTAGACATCGATTAATGCTCTTATCACAACTATCTGCACCAACAGTCTGTTGTGCTGCAATCAGTGAGAGTCAACAACCGAACCATGAGTCATCTACTGCATGATGCATGGACATGAACATATTTTAACTTATCAAATGCTAAAAATTCCATTGCGACATATTTTGTCCCGATAAGCAGAATGTTTGGTATTATTCGTGATGAATGAGAGATATTTTTTTTATTGAAGTTGCTGATAGATGATTTATTAGACGCAGTCCTTAAATTTGGCTATTTCCATGCCAAGAAATTCCAAGCGGCTCAACTGAATGTTTTCATCAGGATTTCCTTCTTTTGATAAAAAATCTGATGGAAAAAAAAGTCTTTAGACCACCAGGCTGCAAGACTTGACCCGCCAAGTGCACACGCCAGGGTAACAACATCAGCAACAGATCAATTCGACGCCCACATGTGTGGCAGATTCATTTTTCATCGCAGATATTAGTCCAACAGCGCCCGAGGCCCGCGGGTTCAAAAGGTAGATCCTAGCAGGGCATCCTGCAGGTCAACACACCAAAAGTTACATAAGTTTTACAGCCGTCTCACCGGCGCTTTGTTTTTCGTGTCTCCGTATCGAACCGAGAGCGAAAGCCAAACTAGCAGAGCAGCACGAGAGGGGAGATTAGGGGGAGAGATTACGGATGACTCAGGGAGGGCGCGGGCGTTTGCCCAGTTGGAAGTATTCCCTCACTGAGAGAGAGAGAGAGAGAGCTGCCGCGGTCCTCAGGTAACAACACCAAAGGTCTGGTCCGTCCCGTCAAGCACGCTGCGTGCTGCGGGCAAAGGGACCCTTTGATCGGCCGGGTCATTACCGCTCAGACGAAAAGGCCACTTTGTTGTTATTTTGTGCTCCTTGTTTCCCCCTCACGGGTCGTCCTGTGGTTCAGGGTGATTACACACACACACACACACACACACACACAGACACACACACATTACCAGAACCAGTAACTACATCCAGGGACAAATTAGTTTGTTTTTCACAACCAAACCGCCTCTTTTCCGCGCCTCTTTACTCTCATTCTCTTCATTTATTCCAGTTGCACGTCTCTTATATGTTTCCCTCATTTGTCGGCTCTGCTTTTAGACACTTGTATGAGACATTTGTGTGTCAGATCTTTACATTATTTCACGTCCACGTGAGTGAAGATTATATAAAGTCTGAGGAACACATGGATAAAAACTGGACACACTTAAATGGTCTGAAGACACTTCCTTCCACATCCTTCGAGATCAATCTCAAATGGCAGTTGCTGCTGGTTTTAATGCGTGAAGCAGTCCATTGTCACGTCAATGTTTAACAAAACTCATCACATTACCAGACTCAAATTATTCTGGCCGATTTAGTCACACAACCGCTAGATTCTTCCTTTTTGGAACGTATAGGGAAATTTAAAGTAACCGATATCAATCGCTCTCTTTTATGTCCCATGACTGGTGGAGTGTACATACATGCGTGTGTGCACGTGTGTTCATTTGCACCGTATCAAGGCATGTTAAATACGTGAAGTGGGTTTAAACACCAGCTGTCTGGACCCGAGCCGGCTGCTGCCGCTGCCCTTTTCCCTTTTGTCCATGTCGTCTTTTTCCACTAATTTCCATCCACTGTTTTCCATTAATTACTGTTATTTATTATGTTTGCGATCTGCGTCGTTAGTTCCCTCTCGTGTTGCTTCTGCCTGTTTACTGTGAGAGCGGTCATGTGATCGCCTCTCCGTCGCAGCGCTGGTCTGGCGTCAGAGGACCTGTTGGCTGCGTTCTATAGCGCGTGGATGCGTTTAAGTCCAGTGTGTTTGCCTCCACGTCAGAGCCGCCGCACATCGTGGGAAACTAATGTGTGTTTTTGTCCAGTTATCTTTCACGTCGTGTGCCAGTGTGTGTGTGCGATCGTTGCATAACACTGTGTGTCCCTACATTATAGTTGCACGGTGCAACGCAAACAAATAAAGAGCTTCCTCAGATGCATGCCCCCCCCCCCCCCCCCCACCCCCCTTCTCCTTCAATCATTATCCAGCATGCATGGCATTCCAGCTCACAGGAATGACAAGGAGATTGTTATTGTGCTCGCTCTCACTGCATAGTTTTCTCACACACACACACACACACACACACACACACACACACAAGCTTTTCAGACCAGAGGCCCGTTCTGGTTTCCAGTGATTAAGCCAAACAATCAATGTCCATTCACTAATTTTCAGGCGAGAGAGTACGCGAGAAAGAGAGGGAGAGATGAAGAGGAGGAGAAAGGCAGAGACGAAGGAGAGAAATGGAGAGTGGGTAAAAATGTGCGAGGAACCCCCCCCCCCCCCCCCCCCGGGTTGGTCGGTCTCTCGTGGGAAACCTTCCTCTCCATCACACTGACCTCTTTGTTCCTCTACCTCCGGCTATCACTTTGCTGCTTGCTTACGAGATCTCTCTCTCTCTCTCTCTCTCTCTCTCTCTCCCCCTCACGTTCACGGCAAGTGTGTGGTGCAAACCCACACTGCCGGTGATTACTGCGAGGGCTGCACGCCGCTCTAAAAAAAACGGGCCTGGGAGCCCGCCCACGGAATGAAGGGCGCGCCGCACTAATGTTCCAGTGAGTCAAAACAAAACTCTCTTACGGGCGCCGGGGGTCGAACCCTCTGCCTGTGAGAAGACCAGCGGGTGTGTGGGCCATATCTCTTCTCCAAAATAGACAGACAGAACACATTCTACCCTTTTTTTTTTTTTTTTTTTCCCGCCCCCCTCTCACCCCCCAAGTGCGAGTGCAGCCCGCACCCCCCAAAGCTGCCGCTTCAACTGGGGCCGCGTGGGCGCGAGTCCCGCCAGCCAAACGGAGGCGTTTGCAACTGCCTCGCACACCACAGAGGGCGACGGGTGTACGCGTGCAAAAGCGGGCTTTCTAGGGAACCGCGGAGGCGCGCCAGCGCCTCAACTCCTGCAGACTGAACCGCCCCCCTGCAACGAATCACACGCACACCTCCCTCTTACTATGTTGCTCGCGCCCGATGTCGAGGAACGTAAACGATTTATGGCCCGCACCATGATATTTCCTGCTGATGAAAAACCTTGTGCTTGGGACGACATCATCAGCCTTCCTCCGCCACCCCTGCCGTAGCACAGCCTGCTGCGAAAGTCAGA